ATATATACAATTATACAGTCACAGTCCGAATTTCGAAAACAATCTACTATATTTATACTTTCACATCCGAAAATCATGCACACACAGTATCAGCACACATATATGCATGACTAACAAAATAACCACACTTCGCACAATTTAACAACTGCACATACCTGCCCCACATAATGAAGATATCTTCACTAACTTTATACTATGCAAGTCCTAGTGCTATGTACTCACAAGCACATACATACTTTATGTGTAGTTCGCATCTCACACACGCTTCGCATATCCAATAAAACTCCACATATCTGACCTAAACTTCGAGAATGTCTCTATTGTGCATTCAATTAAACTACACATGTCTGGTCTTAAGTTCGACCATTTTCCTAATACATCCACATCCGGTGCACAAACATAATATGCATAGCTCGCATCACACACACGCTTCGCACATTCAATTAAACTGCACATACCTGGCGTCGGGCCTTCTTTTTGGCGGCGAACATGGCGCGATTGGCATCGGTAATAAGGAAATGCTTACCGGTGTCCCTATCATAATAGAACCCTGGTAGATCGTTCTCATCCTCAGTATCGCTACTAGATGCCTCGCTCTCACTCAGGTTGGTACCAGCCACTCTACTGGAGTTGGTCCCAGCTCCGTTACTCCATTTGGTACCAGATCCGTCCGCACGCCATCTCTGAGCCCTGCCCCCATCATCCCTACCTATACCTGTACCATACTGCTGCTTATTTTTACGCTTGTGTTGATTTCTTGCTTGTTTAATCTCCCCATTTGCGCCATGTGAACTCACACCCGAGGTACCTACACACACATCTGATCGCTCTGAAGTTCTTGATATGTTGGAGCTGCCGAACACCATCGTTGTCTTGCAACTCCATCCATGCGTATTCCTCCTACCATAACCGGAACCACAGCCTCTGCCACTTGGTGCTGTTGTTTGCGAAGATGAACACGCTTGCATAGATCTGTCGATTTGTTTCAATGTATATCCAGGGAGGCAAGTCGCACCGTTACCACCTATCGCATGCGCCGTACCGCTCCCAGCACCACGATGCTTGGCAGTAGCCGGGTATACGTTCCTACTACTGACAACTTCATTTGTATCCGATATTGGTTTCGCACTATTCGTAGTAGTGGGTATGCTTTGCCCACGTATTATATCTTCAGCATTAGGGCTACTATTTGGCCTGGGTTTAGTACCCCTACCCCTGTTGCTACCTCTTCCTCGGCCTCGCCCTCTACCTCTATTCTTGTTGCGATCAGTATGATGTGCACCCCGAGACGGTGTTCTATCATTAGCAGTCATTATTTACGAAGTGATTCTGCAAGGTTCATGCATATATAAAATGCTAATGAATTGGGCTTTTATTATCAGTCCGTGTCTCTGAAACAGTACACCTATGGTTTATTTTGTGATACACACACCTATGTAACAAGTGTATACAATCAATATTAAGGAGGTTCATTCGTACGCGTACATCAGACATTGATGTATATATAATTAGCATAGACGCGAGGAATATGCGGCATCAAAAACCTCCTGTAGTATACGGACAATATACAATACGTACTATTGTATATACGTCATAAATTCACCTGTATTCACTGGTAGCTGAATTGAATTTACGTATATATATACTAATATACGAACCATACATATGTGGATTATACCTATTGTAAAAATATGTTCATGAACCCCTCCACACAACCTTGTGAGGAAGTATAATTTGCCGGCATGGGGTTTGAATAGTTTTATAGTCTATATGTACCTCAAATCTGTCATCAAAAATTATAATTCTGAGCGTTCATTGGCTATCTTCATCACTCATCAAATGTTTTTATAGTATTTAAAAGAAAAAATACTACTTGAAAGAGTGTCATCAAAATTTCTAAATTTGCATTCTTGTTTTATCATTGGTTGTCTCGATCACACATCAAATGGTGTTTTCCGCCGATTTGGGCAACTCGAGATTACGCGGCTTAAGCCATCCAAACCTCGCGATGTGATTGTTGGTGAATGTTGCATGCATAAAGTTGGTGATACTGACCCTTTCTTCTGTTCTGTTGGTATTATAATGTCTATAGATATATATATATTTACAATAATTGATAAAACTGCGTACTTGGCGTGTATGCAAAGTAAGTAACTATGAGTTTAATAGCCAAAGCAATACCAACACTACTGACCCTTGGGGCACTCTCAGCGGGACTGTCGGCAGTCCGCAAGTCCTTTGAAAATGATTTCCCAACTGCGTTCTTACTATTGTTCGCCTCAGCTATACTAGATGGCCTGGATGGCCATGCAGCCCGTGCACTAGGTGTGTATAGTGTATTTAATAGTGTATGCAGTGTTTATGGAGTGTTATATGTATTGATGTACAGTACGATAGGTTTGTGTAGCATCGCAAACGACCATATCGAAGCATCGTATGACTTCATGAAATAACACACTTTTTTGAATAACTGCATATGGTTACCTGCATAGCTGCTTTCTTACTATTGTTTGCACCCGCTATGCTACACAACCTGGATAGCCCTGCTGCCTGTACGCTATGTTTTTTGTCTTTCATGCCGCTAGGCGTGCACTATGTGTTGTGATAACATTGTGGTGTTATGAATTTATTGCTCAGCAGGTGCATGTGGTACATTTTCTGGATAGTATTATCGAATCGCATGACTTAACGTAGGTGTAGTATGTATATTGTTTAATGTATTCGTATATGTAGCATATGTATTATTGAATATATTAGTTTATGTAGATTATGTATTATTGATTATATTCGTATATGCAGCATATGTATTACTGAATATATTCGTATATGTCGCATATGTATATTTTAGAACATATTCGTATATATAGCAGATGCATTATTGAATCTATATGTAGCATATGTATTATTAATATTTGTATATGTAGCATATGTACAATTGAATACATTCGTATATGTAGCATATGTTTTATTAAATTAATTTGTATATGTAGCATAAGCATTATTGGATATATCCATATTTTTTCATATGTATTGAATGTATTCGTATATGTAGCGTATGTAGTATTGAATATATTCGTATTTGTAGTATATGTATTGTTGAATGTATTCTTACATGTGGCCTATATATTGTTGAATATATTCGTCTCTGGGCGAGCATTTACACTTTTTTCCGCGACCTGTATATATTCAAGTGCATGATCATGTATCTGTATATTTGTATCTGTGTACTTGACGGTCGGGTCTACTGATTCACGTTTGCCGTGTGTGTGTGCATTGAAAAAGCTCTTTAAATAAGCTCTGTGATCTCGTACATATACAAGGTAGGTACAAGCATGTGCTTGTGTAGCCAAATATCTAACATCATTGGTATGTGGCTGTATGATTGTATTGTTTTTTAACTAGTGCAAACTTCCTGGTCCTTCTGGATATAATATCTTCGAGTGAGCGTGTGATTTTGACCTGAACTAGAAGTAACAAGCGTTAGTGGGCATCGCGTACCTTTTAATTGTTGCCGTGCTATGTTAATTATGTGAACTCGAATTTCGACTCAGTATGACCCATCCACGTGTACTATGTAGATATAAAAGTATTATGTATGAACAAAGTTGACTGTATCCATCACATACACTATGTAGTATAAAAGTATAATATGCAGACAAAGTTGACTGGATCCTTCACGTATACTATGTAGGTATAAAAGTATAATGTAAGAACAAAGTTGACAGAATTCAAGTGCCAGTATGGTCATGTTTGTGCCTCTGCATGGCTGCAACTAGAACATGTGAGAATGCTTCCACACTCACACATACGCGTCGTATTCACACATATCTATATATGTGTATCTTGTTGGTGTCATGCATCCTGATTTGAAAGTTGCGCTCGTATATGCACGCATATTCATACATATGTCGATGTCAATACATGTACACATAATCATATATACACATATCCCATCAGGTCGATAGGTTTGGACACACGCATGTCTTCTTTTAATATTATTGGACCTGGTGACTCGTCTATGTGCACATGTTTAAATTCGTGTACAATTGTAAGTATAAAACTGTAAGAACCCTCCTCAAATGCTCCATGGATTTTAAGGTGGTTGTATGTAGACAGGCCGTGTGACTCACCAAGGCCCCCTATAAATCGACGCTGCTGTTAGATCTCTATACATAAGATAGGGTCATCCTTCAAGTGTGTGGGTTGTATGCTGCAGTAGTGTATCAATAGCGAAGGTTTGCGCTCAGTTACGTTACTTGCATATACACTCGCCGTAGCACATCACCCTGTCAGTGGATGATATCTGGTGTAGTAGTTAGTGTACGCGTAGAGACATATATCTATTAATGAATAGGACTGGCAAAGCCACATGGTCAAAGTGTGTAGTGCCTCGTACGTATAGTTCCTGAAGACGAGATTCGACACAGTGCAATATTATAGCGTAGAACACATCTCCCCTTCCATAGTGTTTGCAAGTCTTCGATGAAATAGCTGGTTCTTCGTTGAGCATGCGCTTAAGTACGTATTACATTCATGGCTAGAAATAAAACACAGGTATACACCCACATACATCCAGCATCTTACCATCCACAGAATGGGTGTCCTCTTGCAAGCGGTAGCACGTTACCCGAACACCGTTGCTAGTACACTCGCACGTGCAATAGCATCGACATGAAGAAATACGCGTTACTATCCTTTATTCTTCTAGGGCTTAACCACCCGTACGTCATACTGTGCAACGGTGCCACTAAACCCTAAAACCCTAAAACCCGTACGCCTCTGTATTAGCATCTACATCAAGAAATACTCATTACTATATTCTGTTCGTGTAGGTACGGCCTCGGCATTTGGTGCAGAGCTGGACTCTCTATGTGATCTGGTTGACTTTGGAGTGTCGCCTGCGTTTGTCATGTTCCTGTGGTGTTGGAACGCCCACAAGGACCATCAGGATCTACCATGGTAGGTCTCCTTTAGATTCACATTGTGTGTACATATAAAGCTTGTGTGAGCTTTGTATGTATGTATGTGTGTACTTCTGAACGTGAAATCCTTCATTATTTTTTCCGCGATGCAATCGACTTATAAGTAGATGCTGATATGATTTCACATGCGTACAGTGTAATTTTGAGTTCCACAGTGGCAGTCTTTCTAAATATGCATATTTCTATATTATATCTACGTAAATACACAAACAAATATATATATATATATATATATATATGCGTATGTATGCTTATGTATGTGTATAAAAATATGTGTTAGTGTGAATATATATATATATACATATATATATATGTGTGTGTGTATATATATATATATGTGTGTATGTGTGTGTGTATATATATATACTTATATATATATGTACGTATGTATTTATGTATGGATATATAGGTATATATATATGTGTGTGTGTGTGTGTGTGTGTTTGTGTGTTTTGTGTGTGTACGTATATGTATATTTATGTACATTGATATATTTATATATATGTGTGTGTGGGTGTGGGTGTGGATGTGTTTGTGTGTGTCTAAACATAAAGAGTATATAGACCACCTAGATTTTTACGTATACATATATGACCCGGTTGTATATGCTTAGAAGTCTACATGTTCACTCACAATTGCCTTTCATTTGTATGCACTTCAGGTACGCATCAGTGAATGGAGTGTGGGTGACATGCCTGATCTACGCCGGCTGTTGCGCCTGCCGACTCGCTCGATTCAATTTGGATGTGAATGTGCCCGTCCCACAGCCTCCACACAGCACTCACTTCATTGTATGTATATGTCCATTTCATGGTGTGTATATCTGTGTGTATGCTTCTGTGTATTTATTTGTATGTATGGTTCTGACTGTGTTATGTCCATTTCATGGTGTGTATATCTGTGTGTTTGCTTCTGCGTATTAAATTGTATGTAAGTTCTGACTGTGTTTATTGTATGTATATATCCATTTCATGGTGTGTGTATGCTTCTGCGTGTTTATTTGTATGTATGTTTTGACCGTGTGTGTATGGGCACTCCATGGTTTGTATCTGTTCGTTCTATTGTGATATACATGCGCTATCGATTGTACGTACCTATTGACTACACTTTGTTTTAGGGTTTAGGTATATGTGGGGGGTTTTTTCTCCTATTTATATGTTTCTCTGTTTATCGTGTGCTTATTCGACTTCACTATAATGTATATCCCCACTGTGTCGTGTACATCTGTGAACTTCGTGGAATGGTATAGCCAGTCTCATGGTTGTGTAGTGTTCCATATCTCATCTTTCAAATATATAGTCTATCTCCGATGTACTCAGTGTTTTGAGTGGCATATTATATTGCGATGTTCTTGTGCCGCTACAAAGCTTACGTGACAGTGGGTCTGTTATCTGAAAAATCTAGATCGAAGAAGGTACTAAGCCATTGCGATAAGATACTACTATATATATATATATATATATATATATATATATATATATCCAAGTATATCAAATATCTTTCGAAAAAGAAAACTATTTATAGCATGATATCCTTGCCCTATTCCGGAGGGCTACTCTCAACCCATTATATTTTTAGATATGTTCAGTTTCTGAGCGATTGCTAGTGGCCCACGTTTGCTTCATGTGTATGTAGCTCCGTGTGTTAGCAAAGCTAGAAGAGATGTGGTATAACTATATACAAACCTGCTTCATTGTACGCTTGTACTATCTCGTGTATGAGTGTTTGTTTCCAACTTTATCAACGTGTCTGTTCGAGCATACACATGCGTGTCGTATTGCGAAAGCTCGATCATTGCACAGTACTGACACACCCACACCACGAATCCATCTGTTTGCCCAAAGGATGAAGAAGATGAGTGGGAAGTGGAGGAGAACACAGGGAAGAAGACGTCCTCTGGAAGTACGTTGAGCGGATTTATTGGTTGTATACGATTGTATTATTGGATGTACACATTATTGTACAAAACCCCAAACCCTATATACATTATTATATTTACTATTGAATACATACCGCGATTATTGCATGTTTGTGCTTGCCTCGAGTTTGTACCTTGCTCTGCCGATGTGTTGCGTTGCCCTGTGAGTGCCTGTTATTTATATATAGCATTGGACCTGTCCTGGTATCACAGTCACTGCCAATCGATGGGCTCAATGCATACACGGTGGTGTGGGTCTGATGCCAATTAGGGTATTCATTGCCGCTGTAGGATAGATTGCATACATGTATTAGTGTGACAGCATATGTACACGTATGCAGTACATGTATCTGCGTTTCAAACGGCCATGTTCAAACTTGCGGATGTACCACACTCGCACCGTATTCTCAATACTTAGGGTTCTAGACATACACCCTAAATACTTGCGCTTATCTTACACTTCGTCACATACAACGACATAAGGTGCGAGTTTTGAGTCTCTTGATCACTAGCAGCTTTATGCGTCTGCGTATATGAATGTACCAGACCCGTTCGTATTCTCAACGAATTCACATTCACCATTAGCAGCTAGGATAGTCAAGCGCAGCAGTCTGCGATCTACCCTCTCCGTCACCGACATGAACGCGCCCGGACCACGTCCTGGCACACCCGTCGACGACGACAAATGGCTCGATGCGTATATAAATAGAACTAAGTTCTTCGAAGGTAAGGGGTGAGACATATATCTACATATATCTATATTTAGTTATAGACATATATTTATATATCTGTATATATTTTATATTAATATATATGTGTGTGTGTGTATGCCATCATGTGTTATCATGTTGTCATCTGCTTATGACTGCTTTAGCTATAATTAGGAAGTGAGATATAGTTCATATTTATGCGTGTATGATGATGCGCTTTCGTTTATATGGCTACCTGAATGAAAGCGCTGTTGTTGTGTAGACTCGGTGCCTGTATAGAACTAGTTTCTTGGAAGTACGAGTTGAGATATATATGTGTATGTGCGTGTTATTTGTGCTTGTGTATGTGGCTATCTATTTTACGTCGCTGTTTGTGTATGAATTTGATGACTATAATCAGAATTCAGTTCTTTGACGGTACGAACAGATATAAATGTGTTTAAATCGATATGCATTCCTTGGGCAAAGTTACCTGTTTGCGTGCGAATGTATAGGCTATACACATAGAACCAAGCGCGTCGGAGGTAACATCTAGAAGCACATGCCAAGTGCACAGTGTCGTGCATCGCATTTTGCGTAGAAGTATCTGTGTACACTGACAATCCTCTATCAGCGCTGCTTTTATTCATTGATCCCTCTGCTCGATACATAGTAGTACACAGAAACACACGCCGCCTTCGCCCAAACCTAGCATAAGCGCTGTGATCAAAGGCTTTATAATCTGCTCACATTCAACACTTCATATACATAAAAACACATTAATACTGTGCCTGCACAGCGAGACTCGTGCAGTCACCGATCGCATTGGCACATGCATTGCGCTGCTATGCATATGCAGGTACGGTTAAGCAGTCATCAACATAGCCACATCCGCCGGTACGTCTGCCACCAGGTTCTAGTTCTAACAAACCACTCGCACACAGGTAACATAGAGCCCGAGACAACAAACTACCTAGTCGCATGGTATTATGCCTACCTTGCCAGTACATACCCTCGTACAACTCTGACATACGCACTCAAAATCATGCATACCCTATCGCAGGCGTACCCGCCCCGGCCGGAGCCTATCTAATGCTTATGCCGTTAGTGTACACATTCGTCTTTGGACCTTACGAACGTATTGGCGTGCACCAGAATACGGTGGTGATGTTCGCTTTCTTGGCCGTGGGGTGTCTCATGATCAGCTCTCTGCGCATGTTCTCGTCAAAGATGTTGATCAAGGGACCTATCAAGGTGGGTGTAGACGCAGGATGAACAACCAATCTTACATTGCTACGAAACCGTATTTATATATATTTATATATGTGTGTGTGCGTATATATATATATATGCAAAAAAAAATACTTCTGACAGTATCTGTATCATTTCTTGCGTACTATATATACATCTACGTTTGTACAATATTTACTTGCGAGTACATTGTGTGTGTGTGTTTTCTTGCGTATATCACTATTTGCCTGGCTGTGTTTACACCTCTTCTGTACGGCGTTTTCCCATCAGCACTACACTCTTAATGCTCGAGCTTTGTTCTCCCGCACTGAATCTGCTGCATGAGTATACCTTCCTGTGGCTTTCTTCCACATGTACTTACCTACACTTGTATATCGTATCTCTATAGCAGGCGTAGAATCTCTGTTCACATAGCTATTTGGTTTGAGTGTATCAATACACCGTGTTGCGGGCAGCAAGTCATTTAAATCGTTATGCCAAGAGTATATATATAAGTTCTCGAACCACTCGCTCGTGACGGTCTACCAGCCGTGTGTAATTTCTTAGCGTGTCGAAAGTGTTGTGTGCATAGTCCAGGCTATTTGGTGCAACGTCCGGGCATTTGCCTGTTGCCTACGGGATATGGCCACAAACCTACCTATTATTATCTACTGGCACTTTCATGGGAAATCTGCCTTTCTGAAGATTATGCATCTAAAGTGTAGTTTAAATGTCTTTTGGGCTTTATTGTTTGTTTCGCGCCCAAAAAGTGGACTCGGCTCAAATCAGCACCGACTACATCACTCGCCACTGAATCACTATAAGTACATTGGTTCTATCAACTGTCCTGACACTTATGCTCCTTGGACCACTACCCATTAACGTTTACCCGCACCATTTTCCCTACTACCTGTAGGCCAGAGACCCAAACACACGCATACGCATGTCTGAGATGTATTCTGCTTCAACCACCATTCATTCTCATCGCCCACACCACTTTCTTCACTACCTGCAGGCCAGAGACCCACACACATCTCACCTGCGCTCACGCAGTGTATGGACGTTTCTGCTGAAGGTCATCGCCGTAGTGGGCGCTGTGTACGTGTTTGTGGAGTATCCGTGGATTGTCAGCTTGGCAATTGGCCTGATTTATGCGTTGTCGCTGCCTCTTGGCCCTGTGGCGTACCGATACTTTTTGACGGACACGCATCTCAACAAGACACAATAAATATTAGGAAAAGTGTATATAGAGCTTGATGTATTGTTTATACCACCTACAATAAAGATATTTGATGGTCACGCATCTGAACAAGGAACATAATAGCTTAGAAAGGTTTATGAATAGCTTTATACTATATCACTGAGAGTGTGGGCTTGCAAGCCCCTTCAGACTATAGCATGTCTGTCCGTCACACTCTTGCGCATATGAAGACCCCCATCAAAATTCGCGTTCGACGCAAAAAAGCTAATATAAAGGCCGCTGTCTAAAATACCTCTTGCGTATATGATGTTTATGTTTGGCAAGGTGTTTACGCGTTTAAAATGTAAAGAATTAGGTTCGTTAGATGGATTTCCGCTTTAATGCAGTCGTTT